CATCGATTCTCAGCTCCGCCGCGTAAAAAACGTGTTTGGGATATTCACCCATCGCTGGAATAATATCTCTCCTCTTCTTGGCTATCTTTAGCCGTGCCTCGGCGTGTCTTCGGTGGCATTTTTTCACTTCAACACAATTTTCAATCAACACGACTCACTGGGGTCGCGGTAGGTACTCGTGGTTTCTCTCGAACGTTCTCGAACTTAGAACGCGAGGCCACTCGTTGGGCGCAATTGTAGTGGCCGAGTTACATTAATAATTTATAACCATTAAAACGATAGCTCGTTCGCACGCGTCGAGGCAAAGGGCGCGACTGGTCAATAAGGTCGAGTTCCGCGGATCACAAAGCGCGGCGGCCGTTGAAAAGAGCGCGCCGAGTGAGCGCGCGAACCCGCGAAACTCAAGCCCGCCAAATCCGAATCCGAGCGTCAGAGCACAGATAATACAATACTAGTGTTTGGAGGGCCGTTACACGTGTTTGTGTGGATTTCTCACAAACCTACTTCATAAGGATCACACAGGTAACTGACCGACGAATTTTTTGGAGTGGTTAACCTGCCCCCATGAGGAGCTTATCAATAAAGGATAGCTAATAAGTAGCTATTTAGTTTAAGTTATTCTGTGGTTTAAGTTAATTAAAGCTCAGTTCTGACAGTATAATCGTGACCGATGAAAGCCCCTAGACAAGACCATATGGCGAATGATTAATTTTCGTAATCGCTTTTTTAGGGCTTTCATCAAGGTGGACCGACGACATCATAAAGGTAGCAGGAAGGCGCTGGTCGCGGCCCGCTACCAACCGGGCAACATGGAAGGCATTGGGGGAGGCATTATGTTCAGCAGTGGTCGTTCCTATGGCTGAGATGATGATGATGATGCTGAGGGCTTTTATCAAATTAAGTGTTTCTCTGTCTGTTCCGAAAGCTATTTTTGTTTACTAACCCCTCGTAGTATTGAAAATGTAGTAATACAGATGTTATTATATTAAATTTAATTGGCTCGAATTTAATTGTCAGGCTTCTTGGTTAAACGATTCCTAAGAAAACTAGTGATATTACCTTCTTTTCCTTCCTCAAGGTAATATTTTCCGGGTTTGTAAGATTTACTTACTTACTTACCAGGCATTTTTACAACAATATTTTGATCAAAGGTTTGCTGGAATTAAGGCAAATAACGCGTACCTACCTATAATTAGTTTATTATTGTCCTTTACTTAATTAAATTGACAAAAAAATCGTGTAACATCATTAACAAACAAGAAATGATGATGCCTAGCGTGTTTTAACACTGAGTACTAAGTATTATAGTGTGACCAGCATTTTTTTTTTCAGTTTTATTAATCCTCACGCACTACAGCGTCACATTTAAGTAGTTATACTGTCTTTGAAATGTGTTTAATGATTGATAAACACAGAAACAGATTGAAAAACAAGAAATATCACCTATTAAGTTGAGATAAACCAGATTATTGATAGACTTGTACTATAGGTAGTAGTTTGTTCGTTTCAGCCAAATGACGTCCACAGCTGGACAAAGGAAAGGCCTCCCCCAAGGTTTTCCACTATGCACGGCGCTGCGCTGCCCGCATCCAGGCTCTTCCCGCGACCTTTACCAGATCGTCGGTCCACCTAGTAGGAGGTCTGCCCACCTATCTGATTTTAAATAAACAATTTTCTTCAAAATAATAGAATATAGCCTCGAGTGTGATCCACGGCCAGTAAAAACAGGGCTGAATTTTTTCCGATAACGTGTAAGTAAATACGGGCGGCATATCGAATCGTGCACAGCGACGCGAATGCGCTGCGTGATAACGCGCGCTAATGCTCATATTTCAATGTTTTTCTAATCTACATTTTGAATTTCCTAATTCAAAATTTTCCTATGGTAGAGGCTTGGAGCCAGCCATGATAAAAATAATATGTTTGCTTTGATTTTTCATGGTCAATGCTTCTCGGAAAACAAATCTTAGTTATTTAATTTTTAACGTTAAGAGTTGCATCTCAAACTAATTTGAAAATTATAACTAACTTGAAAAAATCGAACTGCCTAAGGCGGGAATTGAACCCACGATTACTTATAATATAATTTTCAAACAAATCTTGCCAGAAAAGTCATTGTAGGAGTTGAATTTGAAAACTAAGCCATGTCAAATTGCGATGAACTTACTAGGACTAAATTACGTATGTGTTGAAAACATTACCCTCATTAAATGTAGTCGAGCAGTAGGTATACTTAATTGAACAATGTAACATTATTCTAGGTAAACTGATCAATTTAGCTCCTCATCCCATTTAATTAAGGCTGAAGACAAAAAGACAAAAGACAGTCTCCATTCTGCGATGGCACGGTGGGGTGCTATTAGAATGCTAGCCCGTGATTAAGATTTAATTGAATGTTGTGATAAGGTTAGCTTAATGTGGTGTTAACAAATAGTAGGTATATTGGCCTCGATGGTTCAGTGATCTCGAGGTTTTTGGTTCAAATTCAGGGGAAGCCAAGCGAGATCACAGTTTCACTATTTCTTTTATGTGCAATGTTCTTTTGTCTTTAGCAAAAAAATCTAAGAACTATCTACCAAATACAAATCAGTAGAGTATAGTTTGTACCAGATCTTTAATAAAACCAACAAGAGCCTACCTAAAATAAGTCGTATCTAAAAATCAGTTTATCTGAAAAGTATGAAAATGTATTTGGGATTCAAATTGAAATTACTGAAGAAAGAAAGAAAGAAAGACACATTTATTACAATGGACATCACACAAATACAGGCAATTACATAGACATGACAGTGGCACATAATAATGGAAGAAGAAAAAATAAAAACAAGAGTAAACTGAGCAGTGCCACCCATCCACCAACAAGATGCCCACTGCAACGGGACCCCACTCAGCATTTGCCGTGGCCCACGGTGACGAAGGCCACCCACGGCGCTGGTTTTCAGTGTGCCCCATGCCGAGTGAGGGTCACGGACCATTGGTAAAATAAATAAAATACTAAGCTGCATAAAATTGTCTAGATAAACATACATAAATAGTAATATTAGTGCACAGATAAATACAAAAGGCGGTAAATCGGTAAGGATGATAAGATTACGTTTATTAAGAATACTAATGAAAAGAATACTAAAGAAAAGCCGTGTGGTGACGGCAGAGTAGAATACATTTGTCACCAACCCCTACTCTTCCCGCGGGTGTCGTAAGAGGCGACTTAGGGACTACACATCAAACAGAGAATGGGCAGCAGCGCTCTCTGAAAAACAACAATCTTTTAAACTGCGATCTCCAACCCGCCTGCCAAGCGTGGAGATTATGGCAAAACCCTCCACTATAGTGGAGGAGGCTCATAGTCCAGCAGTGGACTGTAAAGGGCTGTTGATGATGAATGAAAAAAATACTGCGGCTGATTTAGAATTTTGTGCAGAATCTAAGTACTAGATATTGGTGCTGGTTTTTTTAGTGAGGAACACTAAGNTTTTTGTAAATAATTAAAATAATTTAAGATTTCATGGTTTTCCTTTCATTTAATTTAACCAAGTTTGTTAGAGAGATTTCATCCATAAACCATAACCCTAACGATCGATGCAATAAAAATACAGGCTGTAATTTTTATCAAATTTTAGTTGGTTCGATTACTAAGAGTACTTTCCCTCCAGGTGGCATTATAAAATTCCATCCTGTATCTATTATAATGTGAATCTTGTCTTAAATTATTTATATTGGCAATAGTCCCACTTTGAGATCAAAATAATTGGCCTTCATTATTTGGTCATCTGAGATGAGATGAGGATCCTTCCTTATGTAATTTCTCGGCATTTTAGTGTAGGTATTCTGAAAGATTGAACAATTTTTGATATTTTTATTTCATTTGGGGTATAAGTACGCAACGGGGGTAAACGTACGCGTGCGTACTATTAATCTCGTACTCTTACCCCAATCGGCAAATATACCAAATAATCAGTCACAACACACACGTTAAATACTTTTTACGAATATGATAAACTTAGGTCAAAACTACATTAAATGAACAATAGAAATATAGTATACTTACTGGCACAGAGCTATCCATTTAACTACAGCACACTTTTCCGTGGCATACAAATTAAACGAAATAAGCGTGCTACAAGTATTCGGCGACGTGTAGCGACCAGTACTTAGATTGCGTCGGCGCGGCACGTGGCTCCTAAACGGCGACAGTAGCGCCACTCTATTTTACAAACACAGACCTCGGCTCCTCCACCCCTGTCGGAGATCGGACCACCGCGTACTTTTACCCACCGCGTGCTGTTACCCCGAATGACTCTAACGACAAAGCAAATGACAAACTGGCTCCTACTTATTTCCAAGTTTAATTCTTACAATGAAGAATCAGACACAAAAACTACGATAAAACCTAACTATTGTTGACGATCTATCCATAGATTTTATTTAATGTTACACAAAAAAAGGAATGAGCAAAAAATTCGTTACACGCCTATAAGTATTTTGAGTTGAATCCAGTGTTTATGTGTCCGGAATTAGAAAAGTTTTGTTTCAGTAGGATTTAAGGCAGCTATTTATTAGTTTTTCGTATTCTGTTATCATTTAAATCTACAACAAATAACTACCCATCATAAAAACCTTGTGTTGTGAAGAATTTTGTATGCAAATCTTACAGTAGGTAGGTCAGAGACAATGATTTTGCTTAATAAATTTTAATAAATGAACGTTACTTACCAATTCGTCGGCTTATTCGGCAACTTATTTGATCAACTCGTGACGCCTTTCAAATTATTTGTATGTTAACGGCATACAGGTGATAATTGATGGCAAATAGTTATTCACATACCGCACATTATATCTAGAAATTAACACAAAATATAACAATAGCACAACGATTCCTACTAAAAAAATATTACGAACTCATAATTTTAAAATTAAAAACAAATCACACGGTAACACTGGCTTTATCACAACTTTGACTTAATTTCGTTAAAAATAAAAACGCACAGAAAAAAACAAACGAAAATCGAGTGCGTCGAGTGTAGTTTACGCGGCACGAATCTATGGTAATATGCACGTTCCTACACTGAGTATTACTTTACGTATTTTTTGACCAATTTAACGAGACCCCCCTCAGCAGTGCATTATGCCTCGGACCGTACTAAACCGCGTGGGCCGATTCGACAGAGAGTTCTTGGCTATTGGTCGGTGCAATTGTAAGAAAAGTCTACCGTAATATTTTCCTTCGACCTTGCAAGGTAATGTCTGGTCTTAACAACGGCCAATACAGTTCTGCTCATGTCTGACAATGAGTTTGTTGTTATTTTAATTACCTGCTGTAGAACGCGTTACGTTTTCGATACCATCAGGTGAATGAAATTCAACTTTATTAATTACGTTTTGTACGTTAAAGGACGTTATGCAATTAAGACAATGAGTGTCGTCAATTAGGATTTTGAAATGTTAATGGTTGAATGATTAGTAAATGCAAATAGTTTTGATTTAATTGCTGGTGCTTAAGTAGGTATGCAGTACTATTACTATTACTCCATCCCGAGATAAACTTCACTGGCTTGGTTGTTACTGGCGACCATGCTGTGAATCCTGGGACATTGGCTACACAGGAGTTGCAGTGGTGGGAACAATAGCTGGGAATAATTCCGTAATTAGGTATCAGACGTAGTTTGATGATCAGTAGATACCTATTATTTGGATAAACTGTTTTTATGTGCAATATTATTATGTCAGTTACTTTTTCACAATCGCAACGAGGAAAAACATCTACGTGTGACACTACAAAGAAGTCCTGATGACGGATAACTCGAAGTATGTTATTATATTATATTATGTTGTTTACAAGAAGTATCGTAAAAATAATTCGCAGTGTTGATAACAGTAAAAACGTACAGAACATACCTATTCAGGATGGACACCATCAGTAATCTTGAAGATAGGTAACATACTTAAATCTGGATCACAATTCGAGTTCGCTTCACTACGTTGTTACGGCTTCCAGTTAACAAAACAAACAAAGCTAGAAGTATGAACTATGACTTACCTTTTCATTTCATTTTCAGAATTTTTCAGGTTTTTTACAGCTTCAATGTATAAATAGCTCCAAACTTAGCCATTGTAGAAATAGGATTTATGACGAAGTGATCTTATAAAAAGTTAATATCTAAGGCTGAGTTGTACCACCTAACTTTGACGGTAACTATGACGATAACCGTACTTTTTGTATGGAGTTTGATAGATTTTTGAAGTTTGTTAAAGTTAAAGTAAGATGGTGCAACCCAGCCTAAGGGTTTCGTATTCCAAGTATGGATTCCTGAAACAACTTTTAACAGGGAAGAAACATATTTAGGTATAGTTATAAGGTATAGTTATTACTTCTATTAAGTATAGGCGTTAAGAACAAATAAAAGAGCAGCACTTACCAGTGTTGTTTAATGACATTTGATTCCAGACACAGACAGGAACCGACTCGGCACCGTCAGGATGGTCGCAATCTCCACCGGCTCATTAACTACTCAACCTTGCAGCGGATTAATTCTTGCACAAGGAGATGCATTTGTGGCGAGGTTTGTGATAAACAACGGCATATCAAGGTAAACAGTGTGGCATCTTATACAGTTCTAATAGGGGCTATTTTGCAACTAAAATGTATAGTCTGATGTGCTGTTTCTGTAAATGCCATTTGTTTTCAACAAAGGGAAATAACCCTAACGCATGTAAGTAGGATATCATTGCGCTTCACATTAAGATCCGTATTATGAAATGACATAGAAGTAGGTATTAATTTACCTAGACTCAAAGACAGAAACCGTTAATAGTCATTTGAAGTGTGGAGTCATGTTTCAAATCCATCATGAAAACGATGTACATGTCTGAAAAACCAGACGTAAATATTTTCAACACTTTGTCTCAACTAGGAATCGAACCGTCTAACTGGAGCTGGACCATCAGTTAGTCCAGCTTCACAGTTCTAACAGCGGTTAGTAAATCATATAGCAAATTGATAATCTAGCCTAAATTAAGGATGGTCTTTAAAAACGAAGTATACTTACTCGTATATGAAATATTCAACTCTGTGAAATTCATGGATTACTAATGTTTGGCCAAAAAACGTTTCCCAAATTATCACATCGCAAACAACGTTTCGCAAATTTTCATTTGGCAAATTCTCATTTGGCAAAGCAACTTATTGCAAACTTTTAATTCGCAAATGTTTTTTTTGGCATATTATTGTTTAGCAAATTATTGTTTGGCAAAGTTTGGTTTGCCAAATGTTTCATTAGGCAAAAATATTTCACGATAAACTATTTACAAAATAATGAAATGAAATGGTTACAAATTAGCTTGTGGTTATTATTTTGTTTAGTGGGGAGTTAATATAAAATTTGTTCTACATTAATTTCCTTATTTCATTCTTTGTATCGAAATTTCCAAATGATTCAATAACAATAGAGGTGATTCTAGCGCTCGGCGGCCGCTGCCGCGGCACGCTTCGCTCGCCTTCGCGCATTAAGGGTCACTGTTCTAACCTAACCTAACCTACTATTTTATGCAATACCTACTTTTTGCAACCATACTATTTTCTGCAATGTTTTACATAAAATTATTGTGTAAATGGCAACACTGGAGAAATTTCTTCACCCAAGCGAAACCTCTTGACAAGACACACAACCGCCTCATACAACTCGACTTTCCAAAATGTTGCCAACTACTCGAAAAATGAATTCCAAAATTTCGAAATTTTCAACTTTTTACAAAATGGCCGCCCACGCCGCCGCCATCTTTATTTTTTGACATTTCGGATTTTTCCCATAATCTGGGTCGTATGTCCGACCAAACCTCATTTTTATTTTTTTTCTGCCACAATTCTTTCTGTCTGTCACTAACTTTAAAGACACCCATGTCGCAAAAAAAACTTTTCCCCATAACTTTCAGTGTTGCCAGACTTTTTTGATAAAAATGGTGAAATGTCATTTGGGTCCCTAAATGTCACCAGACTGCATACCAAGTTTTTGGAATTTCCGGAAATTTCCATTTTCTACTATCCGGGGCCGTGGTGGAAAATTTTCTTCCAAAATGGTAGTTTTTTCCGATTCATGGCAACACTCGAATAACAGACCAACAATCGCCCGGAACATTGTACCCCACTCCGGTGTCGCCATCTGCCGGAAAATTGCTACCAAAGTTTGGGAATTTTTTGATCGCAACAAAATGGCCGACGGCTCAGCCGCCATCTTGTTTTTTGATAATCTGTAAATGTGGCCTTGAAGCAGACTATACAAGTCACAAACACTCAAAATAATTTTTCAAAAACAATGGCGCATCTCGGAGTGACACCTCCCTAAAAACACCCCGAAATCGCATTTTCAATCCAAGATGGCGGCGCGGCCATTTTGTTTTTCCGTTTTTTTCTCAATTTTTTTAACACATCTTGGCAACTCCAACAAACTCCCAAAAAAGAAAAAATTCAGGATGAAAAACAAAAAAGTTGGAGTTTCAAAAAGTGCCGCCATTTTGTTTTTTGGTTCAAAAAATGTGGTAAAGCTGTCAGTCAAAAAATCTAGTTAAAAACAAACATTAACAATTTTACCCCTCTCCCCTCTAAATACCCTAAAAATACCCCTGATCAGTGAGTCAGTGAGTCAGTCAGTGGTAATCGAGCTTTATATATTATAGATTTGGGCACGGCCAAGTCCGTCGCGTCGCTTAAATTAAATTTTCTGACGGGTCAGAGTTAAGTCTACGTTTGTTTAATTTAGCTGGCGCTTTTGCTTTTGCTGGAGCTTTTGTTTATATGAAAGTAGGTTTGAATAATATAAGACGTAATAAATTATGTGAAGGATACGAGTTTATGGAGTATAGAGTTTGGAAAAGTTGAAAACTAGTATTTTTTCTCGAATAATGTGTGCTTTAAATTTTTTCTAGTGTAAGTAGTTTTAATCATGTTTAGAGGTCGTCGTCGTCTCTAAAAGGTTATATTGCTATTTTAACTCATTGGATTTGTCTCATTTGGGGAATGCATCATGAGTAGAGTCTTATTAAAAAACGATGCCAACGATTTAAATTTCATTCTGTATATTAATGTTACCTACAGTATTTCTGAATATAAATTCTAATATCCAACAGACAAGACAAAATCAGTTACAAAAAGACAAAAAAACCTTCTTATTGTTACCGATTGATTAGTAACAAATAAGCGTCTGGCAGCTAAATCAACCGATGTTGCCAGTAATCTCGCAACCGGCGACTTTTTGTATGTTTTTCGGAAACTTTGATTAAGCCAGCCGACGACGGAAAAACGACAGTATTTACCGGCGTAATCATTCACTCGAACTTCACTCATAAAAGTCAATCTGTCTCTGTCGATTGTGGTTACGTCACGGGAGTCGACGGGAGTTTTTACAGGGTTTATTCTGCAAAACGGATTTGATATCTCGACTCTATCTCTCTCTCACACATTTATGGTTAGTGATAGAGACAGGTAGCGGCGTCTGTAGCATTTTGCATGGTAGGCCATTGATATGGGAGGGACAGAATCAATCAGTATTATGATTATGATGTAAGTTGTGATAGAATTCTTAAGCTATTGAGTAGCTATGTCGATTAGGGCGACTGCATGAACCGTTGGTCCGCGTACCGGACCTTAACACCAACTAGGTCGGGGGTTTCAATCCCGCTAGGGGCAATTTTTGATGAGATCAGTAAATTACTTATATTCAAAAGAAATGAATCAAGTATGTGTAAGTGTATGTAAGTGGTCAAATACCTGCCTTGTTATGCATAAAAAAATAAAAGTTAAAATAAGCAATGGTCAAATTTGACAGATGTCAAATGACAAGTGGTTAAATATCAGAAAAAAATGATTTTCGAACAATGGTTAGCTTGACTTATAGTACATTTTTAACTATTAGATAACATTTTGTTAATATTTAACCATTAGTAGCAAAATTTAACAATTTGTTATTTTAACTATGAATCAAGAAACTGGGCCTTAGCAAAATAAAAATGAAAACTGTGACTAGTGAAATATGTGACAGTCCCGTAGCGATAATAAAAGAAATCCAAACAGTCACGAAACTGTCTTCGAAACTGAATAGAACAAGTCAAGTCCTGCCCAGCGGCCATTGGCATTGTTCTAAAGTTTTCAAATTATCTCACTCGAATAAATACTAAATTAAGTTTGGGGAGTTTAGCAGTACAAAGGATGGCAACGCCTACGATTAAAATTTTCGGCCTCTATCTGGGTATATTTGGGTCGAGCCTTGGTTTGGCTTAATATTAAACATTCTACTAATACTCATGAGACTTTATGAACTAATATGGTGAATTAAACTACTGTAATTTCATGCTGATAGCGTCAAATTCGATGTGTGATACGACTCTGGACATAAAGAAGAAACAAAACCTATAACGATGCTTCTACAAATTATTTTGATTGATTCAAAATTTTTAGTAAACGTTTGAGAATATGACAACTATCACGATGTTACTTTGTATAGCTAATAGAGACTCTGGGACTGTAGCACATGTCATTCGTTAATACTCATAAACTGGCTATTGTGTAGGTAGATACCTAAATATCATAGGGTTTAAAGAAGCGATTGCCAAATCGAATGACACATTATTATGGTCTACTAGATGCAATTAATTTAAAGATTAATCTTCCATTATTCTTTCCTACCGCTCTTCTAATTGCTTATATCTTTATAGCTCTATCATGCTGAACCACAGATTAATAGTTACTAGCTGAACGATGACCCACAACTACCAAAACGCAAGTAGCAAAAAAAAAAGGACATAATAGGCTAGATGACAAAATTTCAATTATTTGTCCGTCAGACAGATATTAGAAAATATTAGACTCATATTTTTTATTTTCTTTCATGATTAAATAATAACAGTGCTACATCGAGTTGAAATGGCGCGATACGTCATGCTTGAGTAGAATTTTTACTCAAAAGTAACGTCACGCGACGTTTAAACTCAATATAATACTGTAATTATTCGATTATGGAAAAAAATAATAAATATGAGTCTAATATTTTCTAATTATCTGTCTGACGGACTAAATAGAATTTTGATTTCATTACCCAGTCATCATCCCTATTATGTAACTCATATAAAAAATGTCGCGTTGAGACTCGTGTTTCTGTATTATAGCCACAAAAAGTTGACAACACCAGCTTATTCCAGTTGTTACAATTGGAATAAGGATGTGTTGTCAACTTTTTGGCCACTTTGGGTGTCACGAACTATTTGACGCTGACTGTAGCTACGTTATATTCCAAAAACTAAATAATTACCGTTCACTCACAGGCACAAACCGACACGTGTTCCATTCGATACTCCATCGATTACGTGCTGGAAACTTGCGATGCCTTTAATTTGCAAATAGGGCGGGGGCGGATCGATTCGCGATTACTCGCAATTTGCTCGATTACTCCGCCTTTGATTGAATGTCGTCCATAAAGGAATTACGCCGATTACCGGAATGCTTTTGCGAGTCACTCGATATTCTGACGAGAGTGTAACCCGAATACGTATGGGACTTTCGAGTGGCGTTGAA